ATATAAATAAGCAAAAACACTGACACATGTGCCCCACTGCTGCCCAAGGTTCTCTGTACTGTAGTGCCAATTCATATTTATTTATAAAATTAAATATTTATTTATATTTCTATATATTATGTAATATATAAATAAGCAAAAACACTGACACATGTGCCCCACTGCTGCCCAAGGTTCTCTATACTGTAGTGCCAATTCATATTTATTTATAAAATTAAATATTTATTTATATTTCTATATATTTAATCAGAATCAGCATATGTTAATTCAGCAAAATGCATTTTAAGCTGATATCACTTAGCACTGTCCTTTCTTTTCAACCTTTTTCAACACAGAGGGAATCTCAAGTAGCTACTGAACCAGTATCATCATGCCTCATTTACCCTTCTGATGGGCATATTTACTGCTCACCAGATATCCGTTTACCCTCCACATTTCTGCACCTCTTTACATTTAAGCAAAGCCATGTTCATTGCAGTGAGCTGTGAGAGGAAGTAATAAGTGTCACTTCCCCATTAAAGCATTTATGAGCCAGTGCTTAGCCCTTCAGATGTCTTCTTCCCCTGCAGCTGAAATCCTGAAGGCCATGAGTTGAGCCACAAGAAGGATGTACCCAGGGAGCTTAGTCACTGAATAGAGGTGGACTGGAGAGTTACCCCACTCACATCAGGATTTGTGTGAACAGAGTATAAACCTTTATTGCATAAAACCTCTGAGTCTTAAACCTGACTTATTTGACTATTCTAATCCTTTATCCTTCACCTATTTTTATACTACTTTTTCTGCCAAGAATTATGTTAAGAAACTTTGCACAAGACAAGATCATTCCTACTAAGTCAGCTTAACCCAGTCTGCTTAACCTCAGCAGTACCATGGAATACTCATCTCCTAGGTTTGGAGATGAAAGGGGAGAATTTTTACTATGTCTCTTACCTAGATTCTCTGGTCAACTGGGAACCATATCTTTTTTGAATAGGGCTTTTGTTGACTTTTGTTAATTTTTTCAAGTGCATATTTTGAGATATGTTTCATTTTCACAAAACTTATTCTTCTAAGTGTAATTTTGACCAAAGTTCCAAGAAAGAAAGATTATTCTCTCATCTATACAACTATCAGTGACTTTGGTTCAACCATGACTTTCTTCTACTCATGAATAAATAGATGACAAACTGATTCTAAACATATTAGGTAGTACAAATGGTTCAGTAGCGTGTTAGAGTAAATGATGTTATGTTAGCAGCTACGCTCTTATTTAAAGACTGCTTGGATAATGGATATTTTCCCAACTGTATTGGGAGTTTACAATAGCTGAATAGCTGAAATCTTGTCTTCTTGGACAAGTGCACTGAATCACATGAACTGTTTAAAATTTCATAGAGCAGACTGATAAAGGAGATGGAGACAAATATTATTATTATTATTTGAGAGCTGATTGAATAGCCTAACACTAGCCACTGAGGTTAAGCTTAGCCTTCAGAAACACTATTAGGATTCCAGCAACTTGAAGTGTCTTAGTGTTTTGCTTTTCTGACAAAATCTATCAAAACATGAAATTGAGTAACCAAATGATATTTATGCTAAAATGTGTTTCAAAGGCAGATAAAAAAATACATCCTGGCTCAACAATCCAGGGAAGATTTTACCTTGATGACTTTGTTGCTTAATGAAACATGGGTTCTTACATCAGTTGAGAAAACCACACCATGGCAATATTTTCTGTATGAAACCCTAAAAGTCTGAAGTTCTCATTCTAACTTCAATGATGGCACAAAACTTGAATATAAATATGCCAACAGCTGAATATATATTATATGCAGCCTCGGTGCATTGCAGGCACATCCTGTTTATCTGAGTAATCAATTGATAAAAGCTAATTTAGTTTATAGCCAGTGTTTTTCTTGGGTTCCTTGTTAAATGGTTTATTCAACTTAAATTATGATGCCAACTCACAATGTACATCCTATTCTCTGTCCTGTGTAGGCTAGCTCTTACATAAAGTTGTTAAATAATTGATTTTGTCACTTGTCATCAGTCATGATTCTCAACAATGTTCATACCCAGCTCTAAGAGGGTCTAGAAACTGGCATTAACAAACCTGATAGAAATAATGGAGTGTAGAAAATGAGAGACAGAATTTCAGCTGAGTGACTTTCAATTTGTTCAAGAAGTTGAATATGCTGAATAACAAAGGTGCTTAGTAAGTATTTCTAGTAAATTGAAAGTTGCCATCAGTGAAATACCACTTCTCAGAGGAGCCATAAGCTTGTATGCATGAAATTGTCTTTAAAAAAGTGTGGAAGACCTAAAATCAATTCTCAGTGTCTATGAAGAGTTGTTACAGTTGAAAGGTTTGGCCGCTTTCTAGCTGTGTGATACTGGGAAGAACTCAGTTGGCTTGTTTTCTCATCTGTAAAGTGGGGATAATAATAGAGGGAGATAGTAAGGAACAAATGAATTAGTGCATATGAAGTGCTTAGAACATTATCTGGCACACAATAAATGCTGTATAAATGTTTCCTAGTATTATTTTTAGGGATGTTGTCACTCTGTATAATGTATCTAATACTAAAACTGTGTCAAATAATATTTACAGCAAAAACTATGTTGAATTACTTTAGTCCATTTGATATGGAATAAAAATTGCCACTTCTAACTGCACTGTGATTAAAGTGATTATTCAGTTTTACGTACCTTATGGAATACACCATGAGTTATTCTTTAAAATAAATCCCAGATGTCATTTGTTTCTTTCTCATAAAACAAAGTCTAGAAAAAAAGGTAGTCATTTTCATTTTATAACAAACAAAATAGGTAAATGAGGCATTTTTTTATGACTAATAGGTACTGGGTACCCTGAATTTTCTAGTAATTATCTCATCCTTTGACCAATAATTTCCAAATTCTCATGGGATAAAATTAGCTGTTGAATGTTTAGGGATTTCACACTCCTTCATGTATAACTACTGAATTAATTTTTGGAAAGACTAAAAGACAGGATTTATTTTTTAATATTGTTTTTTAAATTAAACGATGAACATGTTCTTTGGTGTCAGGTATGTTAGCGAACTTTTTATGTAAAGGGCCAGATAGTAAATATTTTGAGCTTTGCAGGCCATAATATCCCTGTCTCAGTTGTTCAACTCTGCCATCATAGCATACAAAGCAGCCACAGAGAACACGAGAAATGAATGGGCATGGCTGCACACCAGTAACACTGTACTTAGAAAACTGGGTAACAGCACTATGGATCAGGCCCAGGGATCGTAGTTTCCTGACCCCATTCTATAAAATTCCTCTTTTCTTCTTATTTTTACCAGGGTATAAGACAGACACGTATATGTATAATGTGTACTTGCACCCTTATACACATGCATGCACATATGCGTGAAAATCATGAAAATGAAGTACAAAAATCTGTACTTTAAGGAACTTAAGGAAAATATGGAATTTAAAGAGAAAGTAAAGCATGATATTTTATTCAGCATTCATTCATTAAATACCCAAAGGCTCTTTCTATTTGAACAACATTCAGAGCTGGTGTACCATTTTATTTTTGTTCTAAAATTAACCTACTAGATTTAATTTGCTTATAATCAAAACTATCCTTAAAATTTTTAAAAACAGTCTTAAGTTATTGTGCATAGAACTCTGTACGATTGTGTTATACATATTCCAAATTTGAGAACCACTAAGGTGGACTAAAGGAAAAACAGCTATGTGCAAGATTTAGGCAGTCAAACCTTCCTTTCTAAAATAATGACCGGATTTTTTCAAGGAATGGAAAATTCTACTGTGTTCCTTCTTACCTGCAGAATTTTCTTTATGTGTACTTAAATGTTAAGCCTCTTTAACTTTAGTATTCATTAATAGACTTTGCCACTGTGCATTGTGTGTAAATGCTCACAGACAAATGAGCTAACACATGTAAAAGCACTTAATACGTGACCTGGGCCAGTCAGTATTTGTTGCTTTTGAATCACACTCTTGTTTGCTCATATCTATATACACATTGCTTTTTAAAGGATCATAGAGAAGAACTGAGCCATCTGCATTTTATCTTTCCAAATTTGCATTTCCTGTTGGGACTTAAAGAAGAGATACAGTTTGAGTCTGAGAGTACCTTACCTAGAGAGGAACATCTTCCTTGAGGATATGATGGGGTCCACTCTACCAGGAGTGAATTCCTGGCAAAAACACATAGAGATACATAGATTTAGACACCTAATGTAAGGCAGCTGGACTTCAAAATGGGCCTCAGCTCTGCAATCTCTTATGTATGGTGCATCCTTTGTAGTCTTCCCTATAGATGAGGATGATTACACCCGAATGGCTTAGGATGTAGAAAAAAAGCTTAGTGCCTTCTTGTGATTCTGTTTATTTCTAGGTATCACATCAGTAAGAAGTATTCTGTATTGTTCTAGGAGGAATTTCTAAGCAGAAGTACTAATCCGGAATGACTTTTAGGGTTCTGAATGTCAAAAGAAGTTTAGTACTCTATTGAGAAAATTGAATTAATTGTTAAAAAAAAATTCCTCTCCATACTGTGCTGGAGATAATCAACATGGACTCGGCTAGAGGCCCAGTCATTTAAAGCTCACTGAATGTAATTAACCATTTACCAGGACAAATGTATTCTCTTGGGAGAGAGTTATGATTGCCTGCTATTTATTAGCTGAAAACAATTTAAAATTTTATTGTTCCTTGGATATAACACTTATGAAGCTTCACTGGAATAAATCTAGAAAAGGAGAGAAAGCATGCAACAGTTAGCATTTTCACTGCTCTGTTCCAGACATCTGAGATAGTGAGTGGCCAGCAGGTTCTAAATGCTCAAATATGATCACTGTAAAAAACCATCATGATATCCATCTTGTAGTCTCATAGTTACTCAATATAAAAGGAGAAAGCTGCGAGTTGAATTTTATCATGAGCTACATGATATAATTTATGTATATGGATCAGAAATTAAATTATTAATTTTCTTATTTTTCTTTTTACAGAAAGAAGCCAGAACATATTATCAGCCCTTTGAGAACACAACATAACGAACTTGACTATTTTACCACTTCCTTCAATAGGTAAGACCCTACACTGTCTACTATACAAGAGTTGCCTACAGTTGTGAAAAGTAACTCTTTGCTAACCATGTTTTAAAAAAATCTTTAAATAAATATCAATTCATTTTGGTAAGGGAGAAATACACAGGTATTGTACAGCTAATAGATGTAGAATTATTAAAATAGCACTTCATAGAGTTTAGACTGATTTAAAAAATGAAAGAATGAAAAGATCTTTCTCTGAAGTAAGGATTGAAATAAGCCTATCTCTCTCACATGGTTAACAATACCAATAATATTTCCTGAGCACTTACTACATGCCAGGCGTGGTCCTACATGACTGACTTTACATAAACTATTTATTCCTTAGAACAGCTCTCTGAGGTGGGTACAGGGATCATCTCCATTTTGTGGATTAAGGGCTTTAGGCAGAGAGAGAGGAGGCAGGTACATGGAGGCGTTCACCTGGGATTATATCCATGGGTCTGGGAGCAGCAGGCACCAGAAAGAACACCAACCCTACTGTTACTGTGAGAGAGGCTTCATGTTGTGGTTGAAATGTCTAGCAATCAGATACTCCTACATTTTGAGTAGGTTCTGTCTTAATTTATAAAAGAGAAAAGTATATATTACATTTACTGAAAGAGCCATAAATGTTTAGCAGGCAAACTTTTATGTTTGCCCTTGTTATTTACGAAGTTGTTGCATGAGTAAATGAAAGAATGTATACACTTCAGCCCAGTTTACCAGCAGAAACAATATTTTGCTTTATTTCACACTTTCTTTAAACTTGAAAGCAGAATAAAATTATGGAAAGGTTACAAATGAATGACTTCTTATTCTAGGAAATTCTGGGAAATGTATTTTAATTTACTTTGTTTTTATTAGAAGTACTCAATATGCTATCTTAAATTGGCTGCAGCAATATTCACTTTACTGCCTTTGTTATTTTTTTAAGCAAGAAAATTCACATTTTTAAAGCAACATATAAAAAAATTATAATAAATACCTAAGTATTTAATACACAGATTAAACAATTGCTAACATTTAGCTGTATTAGAATTATACACATCACAGAATAAGAAATCATCACAGAAGGAAGAAAAGCTCTTTCTGCTTCCTTTCACTTTCCTCCTTTTTTCCTAAGAGGTTTTACAATCCTAGAGATGATATAACCTTCCTATGTATGTTCTAATACATCTGTGACATATTTATGAAACAAATGTCATGTAATTATTTACATGCTAAGAGTTTACATAAATGATAATCATACTGTAGATACTTTTTTGCAGTTTTCTTCACCCAACAATGTATTTAGAGATTTGTCCATATTGATACATCAGGATCCTGTTGACTCATTCTAATTGTTATAAAGTTGACTCATTTTAATGTTTTAATTTTCTGGTGCTTAGTAATATTAATTATTACTTCTAGACAACTTTCAGCATTTTAAAGATTTAATACTAAAATGGTTTAAACATAGCTAGCAAAAAGCCTATTTGGGATTTGTGTATAAGGAATGCAACAAAATTCTTAATATATGATAACATGCCAATACTACTTATGCTTTATTTCCAACTAGAAAAGCATTTTTTAAATTGGCTTGTAAGGATCTTGCTAATGCAATAGGACTCATGATTTTCACTGTTTTCTCACAATATTATAATTGAAATCTGTTTTATTTCCCCATTGATGAAATACTGACTATTCCCAAATATAGTGTAAATACTACCTCTGAAATTTAAGATACTTAAAAGAAAAGTACATCTGTTTGGCCAATGATAATTGCTCATATTCTCTTAGAAAATCATAGGAGAAGTAAAAAAATAAAACAAAAAAAGAGGTTTTTTTGTGTTTATTTCCCAAATTTTCCAACACTGCAGTTAATTCTAGAATTTGTTTAAGGCAAAAGAAATGTCAATATGGTATACAGTAGTGAGATAGGTGGACATAGAATCTTTCATGACTTTTATTATCTGAGGAGAGTAAATTACTACTCTGTCAGAGTTGGGGGAGGAAGAGGAGAAGGAAATTAATCTTTTGAAACAGATATGAATAAATGAGTCTCTTAGGTCAGAAATGCATTACCATTTTGCATATGAGGGAACAAAAGCCCTAATAATACATCTTGAGATTATTGCAGAGCCTAAATTCAGACTCATCTCTGTAACTATCTGAAGCAATTCTGCCTACCAGAAAATGAATAGACTAGAATAAACCTAACACATAAATAGAAGTGTAATTTATTCCACCAATATTTATTGGGACCCTTATATGTGAGTTGAAGGCTGATGTTAGAAAAGTAAGGAAGACACAGTATCTACCCAAAATGAGCAAACAGGCTAAAAGGAACCATGAATATTCATTCAGTGATCCCACAAATGTGATCATTTAGATATTTTTATTTTACTATGTTAACATTGTTTACCAGGTGATTACCTTTGAAATCACCTAACCATGCCAATTAGATTAAACTGAATGGGATTATGAGAGTGAAATGCTTTGTAAATAACAGGGTCCTCTGCAATCCTTGGCTAATATTACTAATTACTGTATTCCGTAAAATTTAGAATTGAGTATTTCCAACCTAGCACATGTAATTCTAAATGTAAAGGTCAATATATGTCTCTGAAGTTTGGGTCTTACTAATTCATCTGTTAAAGGCATATTATTTAATTTCTTTAAGCCTCATATAGATCATTACAGTATCAAGCTTAGGCCTGTCCAGAGTCTTATTATGTCTCATATCTCTACCTATATCATCCCAGTCCACTGTCTCTCACATTTACTACTGAAGTAGCCCCCGTGTCCATTCTTACTTCCCTATAGTCTGTTGTACACATAAAAGTTAGGGTGATCTTTTTAAAAAAAATCTTAATCAATTGATATTACTCTTGTGTCCAAAATTCAGCAGTGACTGCCTGTAACAGAACAAAGTCCACACTCTTACTGTGGCCCACAAGGTGCTATATAAATTGGCATCTTCTACCTCCTTAACATCATCTCAACATCAATCTCTCCCACCTAGGGCAGAGACTGTGATGTTCTGAGCTGTGTCACCTGCTTTTAGAACCACCACCTATCTTGGTGGACCCTCACATATAGAAGGGATGACTAGAAATGCAGGGGTTACCATGGAATGGGGCAGGCATGCTCCGAACTCATACAATATCCTTAATGCACAGCAGTGATGGTTGTTGCCCTTTTAAGGATTCTTTCAGTTTGTCTTAACAGAGCCCATCACTTCTGTAATGCTAAAGCAATTTCATGTTTTTGACTCATGATTTTATAGCATTATGAGAAAACTTTATTTTGCTGACCTATAATTTTGAATCTTTTTTTTTTTTTTTTGTCTTTTGTCTTTTTTCCGTGTCCGGCAACGGATCGCAACCCTCAGTGTTGCCCCCGTACCGGACCGGGGACTGGCAACGGGATCGCAAGCCTCGGCGTTGCTCCCGCGCCTCGCTCAGCCAGTGAGCGGGAGCCGGTCTGTATGTGGGATCCAAACCCTCGGACGGGAGCGCTGCCGCGCTTCCCAAGCGGCGCACTATCCAGTGCGCCACCGGGCCGGCCCTATAATTTTGAATCTTAATTTATAGTAACCCCCCCCAAAAAACCCAACACATAAACAAATTAGGGAAAAATTAGCTGGATGGACTTGAGAAAAACATTAGAAGAGCAAAAAATATTTGTTATTCCTTGCAGTCTTTTAACTATATAATAATACTAAGATTTGCCACAACCCAGCATTATTTAGATTTTATTTTATCTTCAGAATAGATTTATATCTTTCATCATTCATAAATTGGTGAAGTTTATCTTTTAAGACAATTTTCTGTAAAATAGGCTGATATTTTTGTTGGTTTATTTTTACAATATTCCTAGGAGTAGCACCTAATGTGTGTTTATATTGTTGAGAACATTTGGCAAGAAAAAGACAGACAGTAGGATCACAATACCCCAATAGTTAAGAAAAAGAGAAAGAAAACCTGGTATTTGCATTATTCTCTCTGAAAATAAGTACCTTGACTTGTACTGATTACTATCTTATCAGTATTCAGCTCTGGTTCACTGCACTCTGTGTGAACAGTTTTAAAGGCAGATCAAGCGTTCTAAAAATAAATTCTTTTGGTAAATTAGGATATGAGAGCCTATCTTACTCTGTACTATCAGCTGGCAGTCATACCCAAACCCTAAACTATTCTGGCTCTTATTGAGCAAGAACCTATTCCAAGGGTGAGGTTTTAAAGAGGGATCTCTTATGGTTAACCAGAGACTGAAAGAAGGAGTATTGCCCACATACTCTGGCAGGAGTTAAAATAACAATAAACGTCCTCCTACTTAGCAAGCTGAGTCATCAGCACATTCTACGGATCTCTCAGCAATTCTGAGCAGATTGTTTGGACTGGAATTCTGTAGGCAGAGGTGGGCACCACCTGCTGCAAAAGGCTCTAGCTTTTGTTAGAGTGCTGTTATTAAGTCTTGTCTTTTAACAGATTAGCTAGATGGAGGTAGGAAAATAAAAAATTTGGTGCTGATAAGTACTTTTTCTAATGCTTAGAATAAAAGAATGGTAGTCCAGGCATGATTATTATGCAATTAGTTCTTTTATTAGCCATGGAGATAAGTCACTTAATAAGGGAGGCTTACTGTGAAAGGTCTTGAAAGTCAAATTACTTCAAGAAAATTCTAGAGGCAAAAAGCCATAGACTTGTCTCAGTCAATTTTGGAAAAGGGTTGAAACTAATAGAAATCTATTTTTTGCTTAAGAGAAGAGAGAAGATCATGATATGGTTCCTGAGGCTCCTCATATTCCAAAGGCAGAGAAAGAGATAGATCTCATGAAGATCTAGAACCAGGAATGGAACGTGAGCCTAGAACCAAGGCCACCATTCTTTCAGTCTCTCTGGGGACCCTCAGCCTCACTCCTCTGTACATTCCTTTGATTTGTCCTGACTGTTGATAACTCATTCTTTACATAAAGATTAGGTTTCCCTACTGCTCTTCACACAAGCACAGCT